GGGGGAGCCGCACACCCGCAGCTCCTGCAGACGTCCGTCCACAAACGGAAGGTGGTTAAGGACATTAAACAGAGCAGGTGAAGGTGTTAACATCCTCAGGGGGTCTAGTGTCCCATTGCTCATGTAGTGAGCACTACAACCCTAGGTTGCTCATCTCGTGCCCCTAAGTGGGTGATCAAGAGAAGCCTTTGTAACAAAACATCCAAATAGGTGCATTGAAGAACATGTCTTGGGACAATAAGTAGTGAAGCCGCAATCAAGCCGTAAAAAGCTCTTACCGTTAGTCAGCATAGATAACACCCATATTTCTTACAGGTTCTCCTGATACATTGGGGTTCATTTACTAAAAGGTATAGCGGGCTCTTGAATGTTGACTTTGCAAAAGAAGCCAACCCACAGTGTCAAGGAAACTAGCTCAGCCCATTTCTTAAATAGGTTTATGTATGGTTTTCACACGATTCACCCATTTTTTCCAGTTGATGGATGTCCTTTCTTAAAGTCTACCAATTTGATTTAGTAAAGTGCTGAAAATAAAACATAAGCAAGATGTCTCAAAAAAAAAAAAAAAAAAAAATGCAAGGGAACACAGGAAATTGCTATTCATCTTTTATTTTAATAAAATCAGTAATGCACAGCACATGCAGTGCTAAGCATCTAAACTAGTACAATAAGCAATTACTAAACTATAGCGACTTGAGGGTCAATCTTGACATTTAGCAAGTTTGAATCCATTCTTTGCATATAAAATTTGTGAACCTCATGTTATATAGGTATTGCCAAATTTACTTGCTAATATGTAATCATTGAAGACAAGTCACTGATTTTATTTTTATTTACCAGTATGACAAAGAACCACATGTTTTGAGGATTGCAATGTGCCAGACATTCACTGAAATAATAAAAAAAAAAACCACACAACTAAACAAAACTCACGCAACAAACATCTGAGAATCTGGACACTTCACAACAGTGTTTTGAAGTGTTTCATTAATATCTTAAGACAAGTGCATCAAAACCTTGGCATGTTTAAATTTTAAGTTGCCAATTTTAATTACACCAGAAAAGTTATGGCTGCTCAGCCAATACCGGGTCTGCTTAATTTGACTTAAGAGTTTAATATGACTTATAACATTAAAAGCTCACACTACCCCGAAATATATAATTTCACGCATACGTTGACATTCAACATTCAAGTGCCAGTGTTTTTGTACTGTCTTTTGGTCAAGTTTCTTTAAGCTTTCAAAGAATCACTTAGGCTTACAAAAATAAATATTTGTCAAATGTTCAATAAATATTACACAAAACTAGCAGCAAAAAGTATCTAGAAATCCATTGTGCAAAATAGTTTGCTTCCCCCTTCTATCACTCCCATGGTCCCAAATAAGTCTCAGTCTTGCCCTAGACTCTAAGCAGTGTTTTTTGCCAAGAGACAAAAATAAAAAGATTTGAAGGACACGTACACAAGACTTATATAAAAATTATCTGAATGTGCAATAAAAGAAGTTTTGTAGAAAGTTATGGGCAAAAATGTACAAGGGCCATCTATATTTTAAATAGCACCATAACAATGACCTCAATACTGTCAAGTGCACCTACAAAAAGATTTAGAGCAAGGCACAAAAAACACTTGTAAAATCTATTGCACGTTAAGATTTGTTTTGCTATTCCTATGCCACAAAGCTGTTTTTATTCAGCTACATATTGTAGGCCAAGAAAAAGTGGCAGAGGCATTTTGTTGGGAATTACTCTTTGGCCAGATTTAGCACTGCCATACTAAATGCAATGGAAACCTATGCAACTAAAACTGACTAAACTGCACACATTAGCAGATTGTACACCTTGTGCAGTCATGTACATTTTTCCACCATTGATCTTACGAGTTGAATTTACTCATCTGGAGCCATTTTACAAAGTCTACTGTAAGCCAAGTATGTTTGTAACCTTTCAACGCAGCTTGAACAGAGTAATGTGAATCTGCATTAAAATAAAGTCTGCTGCATAATTCATACTGTTCATACCCTCTTGACCAAAAAACATCAACACTAGCATGCGTTATTAGACCAAAATCAGCCAGGCCTGTCACAGAACCACATACTGCTGTGGTCAGCCATTCTGCCATGTTTTTTCTTCTTATGACAGGCATAAATAAATTTAAATGATGATACCTCCTAAAAACTATTTCAAGTTTCAGATCGCTTAACGTTCCCTGTAATGTTCAGCCCATTATTGGCTTGCTCACAAGTTAACTTTTCTGCCTAAACATTGTTAAAGGAATTGCTGTATTGCATTCTCTGAAAACAGTGCTTCACATGTATGAAGCTCACACACCTATGTGACTGGAATGGCTTATTGAAAAGACTTCAGGTTCTAAGTACCTTTCCAGGATAGAGTGAGCAAATCAGAACATAACTTGGTACAGTTAGCCACATTAGAAACTACTCCGATATGCTTCAAGATCTTTTGCAATGTTAACAGGCTTAATAGAGGCTTACTGCACAAGTTTATATTAACTTGAAAATGCATGGATGAAACGATTCCCGTTTTGAGGTTGTATCACACCTGCGTGCCAAGGTTTGATTTCGCCCAAGTTCAATAAATTTATTCTGTCTCAATTTATATCTTGAGCAATACTGAGCCAACAGGACATCAAAATAAAAAGTTGTCTAAAGTTAAAGGCACAGTACATTAACAAACAAATTATCCTCAGTCAAAATAAATGCAGTTGCTGGAAAGGGTGGATTTGGGAATTAATCCAAAAAACTACAGCAATGAAATCTTCCAACACCTTCAGAGTAGGGCTTTTTTTCCCATCGCTTGTTTTCTTCATGGCCCAGAGCTCCCATGAAAAGAAAATTCAGTGGAGAATCACAGCTGGTAATGTACAAGTTCTTGAAGCTACACAAGGTATAGTCTGGCTAAGTTACATGTGGTTTCCATATTAGCTTGTTTGGTTCAGTCCTTTTTATTGCAGCCAATTTTAGTTCCCCCACCAGTCAACCTGGGAACTTCCACCATAATTTCCGCCATAGCCATCGCTGTTATAGAAGCCACCAAATCCACCTATTGAGGAAAGGATATCAATGAACACACAGGAAAAGATGGGCCTACAATTTAAAATGTCTTTGACGTTTTATGCAGTCAATATCCAGTCTGAAAGCTCACTTCAAAACATTTGAGGGGGGAATTATCAAAACTGGAGCAGACAAAAACTGGAGCAGATTTGCACAGCAACCAATCAGCTTCTGTCTCATTTTCAAATCTTACCTGAGCAAGCTGAAGAGATGCTGATTGGTTGCCATGAGCAACTGCTCCAGATTCTGTCTGCTCGTTTTGATAAATTCCCCCTTGTGCGTTTTGAATGTTATTGAACATGCACATGGCCAAAAGAGTTTACTCTTGTACCTGCACCCAATTTACATGATGGATATAGTAATTTGTGACAGAATATTGTAAAATAATGCTAAATGAGAGCAAATTATAGTTTCCTCCCCCGGTGCGACACCTAAAGTATTTGCGACTAAATGGATGCAAATAGTGATAAGACTCAAGCTACACACTTATGCCAGATCTGCAATAGTCCTGTGTCTGAAAATACACTGAATTGTTAAGTCCTCAGGAGGATGTTAAGTCCTCGGGAGGACTTAGTGCCAGCTGTGTTATCCTGTCATAAGTCTTTGAACTCCTTTAACCCCTTCCTGTGAACAGCTCTACATATCGTTCCCCTTTGTCTAAACTTCGACTTCCCATGTCAGTGAAAGTGTTAGAGAGTAAGAGGTTATGCTCTGTTAGTTCAGGGAAGCTATAAACTGCACTGGCACACAGCATGGAGATATTGCCAGCATTTGCAGCTTCCTATTATATCAGTTGCAGAGAGTGGATTAAAAGCTCATTCATAGATGAAAGGATACAAAGCGGAAGAATCTTCAATGTTTGCAATGTCTCCCTCATCCCATGAATATGTCCATTATTTATTTCTCCGCCATGTCAGAAATCTTCCTCGGCTGTGCCTCTGCCTTTCATAAATCTTTGCGCTGCTTCACATACTTTCAGAAAACCTTACTCTTGGGTTACCCATCGTCCAACTCTTCTGTCTGATCTCTACCTCGTTCATTTTTGTTGGTCCCCCTGTCTCTTCTAAAGCTCCCTGCGACCAAAATTAATAAACTTGCAACCTGCTGTTTTACTACACATTCATGAACCCATAGACCACTAGAATAATAATTGTTGCACATTGCAGGCAAATTCTGGGTTGCGACAGGTTTGTTGCAGAGTACATAACTACAATGATAAATTTGCCCCCAGTGTGTGTGAAGCTCATCAGTGCAGTGATTTCTAAATACAAAAACACACTGGCTGCTGCAAAGACCATATAAAAAAAAGGGGGGGGGGGCCCTTACAGGTTTGCAACATACCAAAACTGATTTGCTACCACCATTTTAGACATTTCAAAATTGACTGCTTAAATTGTTGAAGCAGATTTCAAACACCAACAAACCAATTACAACCTTTCATTGAGATCCACATGCAGTTAAAATAACTGAAAGAATGCGTCAGCATACACAATCTAGATCACAATGTGTCAAACAATGCCCAAATCAAGCCTGCCAGGCTATTTCATGTGACAACACAACCCCCCCCCCCCAGTCTGATATCGGCACTAATAAATATATATATAATTTTTTTTTTTTTACTGAAAGCTTCACAGGAAGGCTGCCAAGGTCCCCAGCAAGGTACCAGGCAGCATTCCTGTGAAACTATGTGCCTGTTTAGAGCGCCGGCCAAACACCTTCTTGTGGATCCACGCTGCCTGCCGAGACTGACCCAGACTGCTTGTGAGACAGCACAGCCCTCTTAAGACCACACATAGAACCTGCAAAACCACCTGAGAACATGCACTATTACACTAATTGCCATCATTTTTCCTAGACTTCTACTTTCAGCGCTTTTCAATTTAGTAAAATCAGTAATCGAATGCAGAGGCAATTTAATATGATAAAAAGTAGATACATTGATATATATCTTATTTTTATCTGCCAGATAAAACCGTCCCTTTGAGGGCAATCATAATGCTGATGCAGCCCGCAATGAAATAGTTTGACACCATTGATCTAGATGTATAAATTTAGATGGATGAGCGTCTTCGGTAAAAGTCTAGCAAAAAGTTAGCAATCCTTACCTCCGCTAAATCCCCTACTGCCTCCGTGACCACTGCTCCTACCTCCACGGCTGCCGCCAAAGCCGCTGCTGGAGCCACTGCTCTGTCTGTAGTCTCTGGCACCAAACCCACCGCTAAACCGACTGCTATAGAAAAAAAAAAAAGGAAAAATTAAAAGGCAAGAAAAAAAAGTACTGGCAAACATCTTCAAACATGGTTATAAGTGCAGTCCTTCAAATATGGAGTGTAGCCTACACAACTTACCTCTTTGAACGTCCACGACTACTGGTCTTGTGATGCTGCTCATAAGCCATGTTCTCCAGCCAGGATGGTACCTCTTGTTTCGCTTCCACCAGAAGATCTAATAAATCCTTTGTTATATTTATATTCTTTTCATTGAAAAATGATGTTGCAAGACCTAAAAGGGGTTTAATAAGAAAAAAAGACAAATTTACAAGAGCCAAGCAGGTACACATCATTAGTGCCTCAAAACTGAATTTTTGAACCACATTTACATAGTCACACCAAGACGTAAAAATAGAACTTACCCAAATTACCAACACGACCTGTACGACCAATTCTGTGTACATACTCTTCAATGTCACTGGGCAGATCAAAGTTTATTACATGTTTGACATTTGAAATATCAAGTCCTCTGGCTGCAACCTATAAGAAGATTTAGTACATTAGAAGCATTGACAGGCAGGAAAGCAGCAGGCAAATTCAAAAGCAGACACTTACAGCAGTGGCAACGAGAATAGGGCTTTTTCCAGAACGGAACTGATGAAGTGCTTCCTCCCTGTCTCTCTGAGAGCGGTCTCCATGGATGCTTGTACAAGCATAACCCTCATGGTACAAGAAGTCCTCAAGAGCATCTGCACCTTTCTTTGTTTCCACAAACACCAACGTTAATGAGTCTTTACCTAATTAAAAATAAAACCCACACAAGTTTAAGAGTCAGTGAGTCAATGCAGTGAAGTATCACCTTTATAGAAAACATGCAAGGCTGATACTGAATTACCACATACCTGTGGCATTGAGGAGATCCAATAAAAATGACCGCTTGTCCATTTCTTCTACCCAGACTACTTTCTGTGTAATATTTTCAGATGTAGAGCCCACTCTGCCAACTGCCAAGAAGATATATTCTTCCAAGAAATCACGAGCAAGAATCTAAGGGGGGGGGGG